TTTATCAAGAAGTTTGTGACATATTTGCACTTTCTTGCATAATAATACAGTTTCATAGGTTTCTTCATAAACCAGACAGGAAAAGAAAGGGCAGTATTTGACTTCAATTTACATCGTACGAGCTTGAAACTTCTTTAAGTGCAGGACAGACATGTATGTTGAACCTACTAGAGTAATACATTAGTAATTCTGATTTCTGGGCTAAGATACATACTTTTTGCAAATTAATTTTTTATATATTGTCTATGGCAAGACAGTGCCAATTTCCTTATTAATTTGCTATTTTAAACTTGATAAATGTGAAAACTGTAAACTTTAGTTTTGAGTCACTCCAGTTCCTCAATGCTTCAAATGTACACAAGTGTTATGAAAATAATGTTATGTACACGTTAGAGGTTTCTGAAATTTATATATCTTGCTAAAAGTGTCAGTTCTGTGTTCTAATGGTGAAATTATGTCTTTTTTTTAATACAAATTTGCTACAAATGTAAAACTGCATGTGAATTTGAAGTAAAAATATATTGTTGTGAATATCTGATCTGGGAAAAATTATAGAAGCATTTTTCTACTTCTTTTAAAATTATTATTGTTTGCTTCGAGGTTTTATTTTATTTGATTTTCTTAAATTATTTCAACGTGTTTTCAGTAATAATGAAAACGTTTACACTTAATGGCGTTCAGAAAGAAACAAGTCTTAACATGTGATAACCTGGAAGAACCTAACAGCTTAATAATTTCCAGTTTATTAATTCTTACGTTGTCCTAAATTATGGTGAGACAAAACATGCAAATTACTTTTGCTTGACAATTTTTTTGAGAAAGTAGCATCCATTTTCTGAATGGAAAGATATAAAAAGTGGTTTTCCAAAGAGAGGAATAAGAAGAATGTAATACTTTTTCAAGACATACGTAGAAGGTAGATTTGATAGACATGTCAGGTTGTTTTTTGGGTATGCTCTGTGTAAGTGTATAAAGTTATGTTCAGAAGACAGTTGTAATAAATGCAGTATGTTACGACCACAGCATGTTCCAAAGCTGTTGTACTTTAATTCAGCAGGGAGTTGTTTGGAGCTCAAAGTTGTTCCAACTCATTGCTGTATTTGAGACAAATTTGGTAGTTCTTCTGCACAGAAGTTTTAAGAAAATGCCTATATTTTGAAATGGAGGCTTGCAGGTAGAGATATGGTTTATGTCTGAGGAATAGAGTATTTTCTTATTATATTTTCTTGCTTTCACCAAGTCCTGGGGGTTTTTTTGTACGTTTAAAAATACTGTAAGAAATAAAAATTAAATGGTGGCACTAAGTAATAACATGTGCTTTTAAATTTTATTTAACTTCATTGTACGTTTTCCAAGTCCCATATCACCAAGTGTTTGTGTTCATTTGTTTTTTAGCTTATTTGCACTAATCTTGATGAACTCAGGGAATTAATCACAAAGATTGAGAAAGAACTCAAAGATCTGGAGGACATTAAAAAGAAATCGGTATGTGACATTACAAGCTTTCTCTTGTATGGATATAAAGCAATGCCAGTTACTTACTGAGGCCTGTCAGCTGAAGGTTTTTACCTTGTTCAGTAACTGCATGAAACCTCATAAGGTTGATGCCTGGAGACTGTAATCTTAATCTTTCCTGTTTGTAGTGATCTATTCACAATGCTTTTATGACAAGAGAATTCAGTAACTGCATTAACACTTCGCCAAAACAAAATGCGAGTAGTGATAATCCCTTAGCAGGGATAGCTCATTTCTCTTAAACGTGTGACCATTCTGCCCTGATGACAAACTCTAGCCAACAAGCAGTTACAGGATAGAATTCTTCATATCTGCCTATGCATATCAGCGTATATGCCTGTGCTGTCAGAACTTCCAGTGAGTGGACTCTTGCACTGTTTATTAGGATTGCTAATTCCTTTTGTTTGCAAGTGAGTTATTAAAATGGGCTTTGTTTAATTTTTATTGAAGTAGGTTGTGCAGGAGACTGTTTTATCTGGCTTTTGCTATCACCGTAGGTACAAATTTTACACATACACACTGGATCTCTCAGTCTATGCAGCTGAAAACATCAAAGGAATAACGGTTAGGCAAGATAATCCAGTATTTTGGGGCTTTTGTAGGGGGCAGTGATTCTAATTAGGATGATGGATGGGTTTAAATACATGAATAGTACTCATTGAAAAGGTTTTCTGCAGTGAACTCTTCTTCCTTTTCTTTCATTGTAGTTCTGATTATTAAACCCTTGGTAGGCATTTCTGTGGCATTTCTATGAAAAGTAGTAGTTAAAAATGTTGCTTTTTCTATACTTAGAAGTTAGACTGCTTTTAATTTAGGTGAATGCCTATAGTCTCATGCAGAAAAAGTTTATTCTTAAATTATTTAAATAGGGGAGAGAGATGTGGTAGGAGAGAGGCAGTATAAATTAGGACTCTGAAAGACAAACTTCAGTGCAGACAAAGCAGAATAATTGTTAAAATATCCAAAGGAATAAACCCAGCCTTATCTTGAAATTATTTTGTAGTGCCAAATTTCAAATTGATTTTATGATAATAATGTCAAGAGGTTATCAGAAAGGCTATGTCAACAAGAGAAGAAAAAGCCAAAAACGAGAGTAGGCTACAACATACCAAAAATTTTAGTGTAGGTGAGAGTTTTAGTTGCTGGTAAAACTATCTGAACAAGACTTCTTCAAGGGTAGACGAATGCTAAATATGTCATAATTGCTCTTAGAACTGAAATCTGATAATGTCATTATGTAAGTA